CCCTTGAGTACGGATCAAGCGTGAACGTGAATTTCAAGGGTGGTAGTCAAATGATCGGGTTATTTAATTGTTACACATTAATTTAATTACTCAGATTTGATTATGTAAAAGGGGACTAGCCCGAGTCCTGCTCTGAACGTCGCGACATCCCGAATCGTTTCAGGAAACTGGGACCACGTATGTCGTGTGGTTCACCCTCTCATGAGAAAAGTATTACGCGCGCAGTGTGTGAATTGAGAGTACGACTCACTGTGTTCACGCCGAGTAAGTTGAGAAACAAAGCTTACGACCTCTCAACACTACTCCGCAACAGAGATGGCTGATTAGTCATGTGATATGTACACAGGGTCAATGACTGACACATACTATAGGTATCATTTGAGCAGACACTTTCTTTGTTATTAGCTATAACTAGGCTTGCTACTCTGCCAAGTTTTGTTGGTAGCCACATCCGGAGCATTGGGTAAAAACGAATTTGTTTTCATGGCGACAAGTCATTGCTAAGTGCCTCGACCGCAAAGTAGCCATCATGAACTTGTTCGACAATGAAACACCTTCCAACAACTACGTAATGAATCTGGGTTGCTTTCGTGCCCAGAGTGATCTCTCCTTGAAACACTAAACTCTCTTTCTAAGCATGTGCTGATCTTTTATGCTCAGAACGTCGCGTGGAGTGCTAGCAAGTCTCGTACCTGAGCTCGGACCAGGGGATATAGCTCTTGGTACAGACGTGTTAGGCACCCGCGTTTATTGAGTAAAATTCTGGTGTACTCCACTAGCCTTCATCCCCTAGCGCAGGAGCTGCCAATCCTCAAGGTTGATGTCCTGCAACTTGCTTGCATTTTCCCTGGGCAAAGATGTTATCCCTGAGTAAAGATATAACCCGACAAATGTTAGTACTGTATTAGTGGGGCTCCCGGAGGCTTTTCCCCTAATTGAAGAGCTAGGTGCTATGATACCTTTCCTGTGTATTAACTTCAGTTCGACTATGTCCCGGGTTGCATGTGAGCACAAGAAGCGTTCAGTGATGACATGTACCGTGTACAATTTTGAGTTCTTAGGGTAAAACTTTGTTCTATCCGGGAGGGGCAGCCTATGTCAGACTACGAGTCGTTGAAAATGAGGCTATCTTTGACGTTATCATGCACCCTCTATGAGTGAAGTCTATGCGTAGAGGCAGACTCAGTACTACTCGTTAGTAAAAGCGGTGATTGGATGATTTCGTGCTTTATACGTTTCAGGGTACCTTGCATCGCGCCTAGGCACGAGCTGCACCCAGTAAAGTTGTTCTCTTTGTATGAGCGGGAAAACCTCAGACAACTGTATGTGTTTGGCTGTAAGAAGGCTTTAGCTGATATTTACTAATTGTCATTGGCTTAAACGACCTTTGCTGAGCTGGAGGAGGGTTAGCCTGCAAGCTCCTTGGTCTTAAGTCCAAGTGTTAATGCGATGGGCCATTGTAGGGTGTTGGGTAGCGAGAACACGCTAAGAGTGATTTGCATGCTGTACCGGTATAAAACGGAAGGCTGGGAAAAGAATGTTGTCAGAGATGTTCAACCTCAAGTCAAAATGATGAGAGAACATGCGCTGGAGTTAGTGAAAGCAGAAGACGTTATCGAGTATATTATCTATTTTCTTGGAGTAGATGAAAAGTTGCACAATACATTCTCATCCTTTGAAACCGTTGATTCGGCAAAAAGGAAGGAGGGTCGTCAGTTATCAGCAGTGAATCTGCCATGACTATCATCCACCAGAACTGAATCGGCTATCACGCCTCAGATAACCAGCAACACTCAACGCGCAGCAAAAGACAGTTGACGAGTGAGGAGACACTAGGATAAACTACATTACATTGTTCAAGAGGCAGAAGTGAGAGGGAAACCATAGTACGACTAAGAGTCGGACCGTGTTGATCAACAGTGTATTACCAGAATCCGACCAGCGAAGCAATCTGAGCACCCTTGATGTTTGAATCAGTCATCCAGGCCGAAGAGGTATCCTCAAAACTCTGCGGTAATTGTCATTCACATGAGTACAACCCAACCATCTCCTGTCAATGAGTCGCTCTTGGCCAGCGGGTTGGTATTGTCTGCTCTCAAGCAAACTACCTTAGACCATCTGTCTGTTCTGTAGGACTGATCTTGTACCAGCTTCAGAATTAGCTAGACTGCCTAGCAATTTGCAAGTTTTCTCAGAGTTTTATTACTAAGTGGTTAGCGCATAGTGACTTGTTATTTCCGCAGCATTTGGCTATTCGGGTCACCTGAAGGTTTCAATTAAGATTTGACCAGCAAATCGGACAGCTCATGTACTTCATCTGAGGTAGTCAGGCCAGTTACTAAGATCATCAGAAAACCAGTAGTAAAATTGTCCCAACACATGAGTGCAGTTCAGTCGTCCCCAATCAGTGGGTCAGTCTTGGCCAGGGTCAACAAGATATCCCTCAAAGACGTTATCGGATATCAGTATGTCAGTGCTGTTGGCTTCAGTCGAAGGGATTTATCAGCCTTTGTTGTCCATACCAGTTTCGCAGGGGGCTCTATTCATGACCTAAGGATCGATCTGAAGAAGGGAAAGGAGACGCATGAGCACTTTGATTCGGACAGCCTCTACCCCACTGATGGCCCAATTAGCATCAACAATACGTCTGCCCCCCCCAAACGATCCCCAGGCGTCACAACCTACGTCGTGTGACGCACCTCCTACTGGTACCTGTTCCTCTACCCTTCTCTCGAATCCATCCTCCGTCACCTTCTCTAATGTTGTGGAGGACCAAGCCCGACACACTCGGCTTGTCATATTAGGCACCGAACAACGCCGCCTCAACGCCATCATCTCCACTGCCTACTCATCTCACTTCCACCTCAAATTCATCGCCACCACCCTTGGTGCGTCCACAGCCAAGTTTCGGGCCCTCCTTGAGATTGGAGCTACCGGTAACTTTATCATTGACGCGTGTGTCAACAAAGCCGGTCTAACCTCTACCGGTTACGACTCCGCGATTACCATTCGCCTAGGGGACAAAGACACCGCCGTCGTAGTAGACCGCACGGTTCCCGAGACCATCATGACCATCGGAACCCTCCGCAGTCAGGTCTCGTTTGATGTCATGCACTTGATGTGCGACATCGTATTGGGAACACCTTGGCTGGACCACTAATGTACTACATGCCACACGCGTTCCACCTCAACTTCTTCCGCCTCACCAACCCCCCGACACGCCCATCGACATCCCCTATTTCCCCCACCCTACCTCCCGAAACTCCGTCACTCCCCACCAGTTTCTCCACATGGCCCTTCATAACCCCCACTCCACCTACTACTGCCTTGTCCTTGATTGCGAACGCCCCGAGGACTTGCTCCCTACGGACAAACCCGATCAAGGCCCCCCCTTCGACCCCGCCCTCACCTCCATCCTCGACAAATTCAAGGACGTCTTTCCCGACTCCTTGCCTGCCGGATTACCCCCAGATCGTGGTGTATCTCACACCATTCATCTGGAACTCGGCCACTCTCCGTCGTGCCGCCCTCCATACCAACTCTTCGTCTCGGAAACCGAAGAAATGAAGCGACAACTCAATGAACTCCTTGAAAAAGGATTCATTAAGCCAAGCTCCTCCCCCTTCGGTACAAGCTGTGCAGAGACTACCGTGCCTTGAATTGGATCACGATCAAGAACAAGCACCCCCTACCTCGGATCTCCGAGCTTCTCGATCGACTCTGTGGAGCCAAGTATTTTACCAAGATCGACCTCCGCAGTGGCTTCCACCAGATCCGCATCCACGAGGAGGATACCCACAAGACCGCCTTCCGTTCCCGATTCGGGCACTATGAATTCCTCGTGATGCCCATCGAACTCACGAACGCCCCGGCCACATTCCAATCTACAATGAATCACATCTTCCCCGACCTCCTCGAAGTCTGTGTTGTCATCTACCTCGATGATATCCTCGCCTATAGCCCCACCTTCGAGTCCCACCTTCAGCACCTTCGCCAAATCCTCTCTATCCTCAAAGAGCAAAAATTCTACGCCAAGTCAGCAAATGCACCTTTGCTGCTTCTAGTGTAGAATACCTTGGCCACATCGTCTCTACTGAAGGAATTCGCATGGGGTCACCGCCCTTGTTGAGTACCCCCCGCCCAAGACCCTACTCCAAACTACGCTCATTCCTCGGCCTTGCCAACTATTACCGTCCCTTCATCCGCAACTTCTCCGACATTTCTTACCCACTCCACGAACTCACACGCAAGGATGAGCCCTTCAATTGGAACGACCACCGCCAAAACGCCTTCGACTTCCTCAAATAAACCATCACCACAACCCCTGTCCTCAAGATCGCCGACCCCTCTCGACATTTCTACGTTACCACTGATGCATTCGACTTCGCCATTGGAGCCGTCCTCTCGCAACATTTTCCTCGCGACACCTCCGAAACCCCCTCCATCAAAGACTCCCCCACCCACTCTGAGGCTCCACCCGGCGAATACCCCATCGCCTTCGCAAGCAAGAAGCTCCTTCCCGCGGAGATGAACTACCCCTCCAACGAGAAGGAACTCCTCGACGTGATCCACGCCCTCAAAGTCTGGCGCTCGTACCTCGACGGGCAATACTTCACCATTCGCACCGACAACACCATAGTCTCCATTCTCACCAAGAAAGACGTCACGCCCTGCCAAGCTTGCTGGTTAGACTTTCTTGCCCAATTCACATTTACCATTTGCCACACTACCGACAAAAGCAACCGCGTTGCCGATGCCCTCTCTCGACGCCCCGACCACAAGCCCCCTGAGAAAGTCTACGCCTCCATGACCCACATTAAGCTCCTCTCATCGCTCCATCACCGATATACACAAGGCTACCTCTCATGCCCTGACTTCTCCACCGTCTACAACAAGCTTCGTGACCTTGACCCTGTCCCCGACTACTCTTTCCACGACAATCTCCTCTACATCAACACCAAAGGCACTTGCCGACTTTGCATTCCCGACGCACGTGGTCTCCGTACCCAGCTCTTGGCCGAGCACCACGACGCCAAGACTGGTGGACATCTTGGATTCCAGAAAACCTTTGACACCATCTCTGGCTATTTCCACTGGCCTTCCCTACTCGCCGACGTCAAAGCTTACATTCGCTCATGCCCCACATGCCAAGTTGTCAACCCTTCGAACCGGGCCAAACCCGACAAGTTACAATCATTGCCTATTCCCACTCACCGATGGCAGTCCATCTTTATGGACTTCGTGTGCGGTCTACCCAAGACCGACCGTGGCCATGACTGCATCTATGTCATAGTTTGTCGCTTGACTAAACGAGCCCATTTCATCCCTTGCACCACTTCGCACAATGCCAAGGACATCGCCACGCTCTTCTTTGAACAAATTGCACGCCACCACAGCCTCCCCGAGAATATCATCAGTGACCGTGACCCCCACTTCCTCTCACAATTCTGGAAACACATCTTCGAGGCCTATGGAACCACGCTCAAGTACAACACTGCATTCCACCCATAGACCGACGGACAAACAAAGAAGATGAACGATACTCTCCAAAGAATCCTGCAGAAGTATTGTCATCCACACCAACCATGATTGGGATCAGTTGCTCACTGCCGCCGAGATCGCCTACAACAACGCCGTCTGTCCTTCCACTGGCATGTCTGCATTCTACCTTGACCTTGGCTACCATCCTCGCTTGCCCTCAGACTTCTTGCTTCCTTTGCAGCTTAACCCATCCACCCTCTGCCCTTCTCTCAATGAATGGGTAGCAACAATGAACATACTCCTCAGAGAAGCCATCGAAGCCCTCGAACGAACACAAGAACAACAAGCCAACAAGACCAACAAACACAAACGTGACGTGTCATTCGAAGTAGGGGAAAGTCTGGCTCTCCGCCAAACGCTTTGAACCCGATCCAAGAAACTCTCGAACAAGTGGTTCGGACCCTTCCCCATCATTGAACAAGCCTCCCATGTCAACTACAAACTCCAACTCCCTCCTGACATGACTCGCGTTCACCCTGTCTGCCACGTGGAGTACCTCAAAGAATACCATGAATCCCCACCCCAATTTGCTGACCGCCCATATCCTAGACCTCCACCAATCATGTTACCCACATGCCCTGAATTCGTAGTTGAAGCCATCATAGGACGAAGAACTAAGGTATCTAATCACTTTGGACCAGTCAAATAATACAAAGTTAAATGGACGGGATACCCTGACGAAGAGTCCACATGGGAACCGATTGCTAACCTTAAGAATGCCATGAAACTTGTTCGCGCCTATGATCACGCCCATCCTATACCCTAGCTACCCACTATGACTAAGCCTCGCTTAAACCCTACCTAACCCTACCTAAGCCTTGCCTCCCTGCTCTACACACATCCCCTGTACCCAGACAACCCCTTGCCTCTTGACCCCCCTCTGTCTGATCCGCTCTTGCCTCCGTCCCACCCGATCTCCCATCTGTCCACCACCACATCTCTGTCCCCCTTGTCCAAGTCCTACATGTGGCCCCTGTGTGTCGCTGACGATAAAGGATCTAATGGTAAGCGCACAAGGATGATGGCATGTTGCAGCTCAGTACGAGGAGATAACACAGCTGGTTGGCCACGATGCTGTTCCCTTTGGCCGACGCCTTCGACTCGCAGACTTCCGGAGCAGCACCCCTGACATGGACATCAAGATCAGTCTGCGACCTGCTATCCGGATCAGACCTCATCACCAGATCGTGCACCCGACGCAACCTGCAACTGGGACAATCAAGTTGAAGCCCTCGCTATCTATATCACAAAACTGTTGAAGATTGCTTCCTCACCGCCACTTTTGCGACACCCGCCAAGACCTTCCTCAAGACATTTCTTCGCTTTTGACACTTTGTTACAGACCTGAGACGTTGTTTTCCCTGGCCCCTCGAACACCCCAGCACTTGAGCATTGAACAAACAATTTTTTTTTTTTTTTTTTGTCAAACCTGACAACCTATAACCTTGTAGAACATCAATAGAATTACGCTGTTACCTGAATATTGATTCCCCCATCCTTGTAGAACATCAGTAGGATTCCCCTGTTACTTGAGCATTGATTCCCCCACCCTTGTAGAACCTTACCCTGTTACTTGAGCATTGATTCCCTCACCCCTGTAGAACCTCAATAGGCTTACCCTGTTACTTGAGCATTGATTCCCTCATCCCGGTAGAACCTCCATGGGATTACCTTGCTACTTGCATTACTTCCCCTTTCCTTTTCTGACCAGTGATTGGCCTCGTCCCGTCCTCACAGTTGTTCATTGGGTCTTTGGCAGCCGGGATGTTGCCTACTAGAGGGAGGGGATAGTGTTACGGACTCGGCCAGGGCTCGATCCCTGGTCCGCGGGTTACTACCCGCCAGGCTGCTATTTTATTTTTGAATCGCTGATCTCCGATTCCTGACTGTTGGTGCCCTCTGCAGTTGGCGCTCGTTCTCAAATCCTCCCTCTGGCACTTTCGGATTTCGATACTTGGCACCATCGGACATTCTGGCGCCCAGGCTCAGACTTTCGATTTTCAGTTTAGCCCCGAGGCAAATTGCACTTCTGCCCTCCGAACTCAACTTGAGTCTGGTACTTAAAACCGGACTCAAGCTAAGTTCGGGGACTCAATTTTCAGCCTCAGTGCTTGTGCTTCAGTGTGACTTGCTACGACATTGTGTTTGGAATCGAAGATTGCGACTTTGCGACTTGCCTCTCCGTGTCTGCGTCCTTCGCGTCGAGCCGAGTCCATGTCGAGTTGAGTGAGTGTGTGTGTGTGCTCTCACTCTCTCCCTCTCCCTCTCCGGGCCTCGCTACTGTGCCTCCGCCCCGTCACAATTAGGACCCGAGGGTGAGCGTCTTCTGTTCCGTCAGGCTAGGGAGAGGCAGCGTCAACTGAGGTTGGCAAGGGACGCAGAGGCAAGCAGAGCCTTCGCAAGTGAGGTAGCTACCTCAGCAGCCACCATGGCCACCTCTGCGTCGTAGAGCTCCCAGGCCAGTAGTTCAGGGACTGTCGGGGCGACGGTCGCACAGACCGAGAGTCATTCCGCTGGTGTTATGGCAAGCCAACAAACAGTGTTAACTCTCGAGGAGGTCGCCATCCAGAGAGCAAATGCTCACGAGGCACAACTACAACAGGCATTAGATGAGATACAAGCAGAAAAGGAGAGAATGATCAGACGTAGGTCTAGGATGCAGTGGAGACAAGCGGACATCAGGGAGTTAGAGGAGATGGATCTAGCAAACATGGATGACGATGTAAGGACCCTTAGGACAACCCTGCTAGACGTAGTGGAGATGGAGGACTACCATACGGTTCTTTAACAAGACATTCAGCGGAGATTGGACCTGCTGGTCGGGCGAGTTCAGGTCACACCATCACCGTCTGGGCCAGGTGCCTGGCGTGTGGTACAGCCTCCTCCTTTTGTCCCACCGGTAACTGGAGTAGTCCCATTCACCGTTCCTCCAGCTACGGTGCAAACCACTTCCCATCTGGGTATGCCTTTGACAAGCGGGTTCACAGCACGTCCTAGTGTACAGATTCCTGTCCAGAAAGTGTTCAACCAACCTCCGTTGCAGACTGCCGTAACAGGGCAGCTTGCCGTCTCGCAGCCAGCACAGCTGCAGGGCACATAGCCCCAACAGCAGCCAGTGCAGCAGCCTGAACCCCAGGCCTCACAACCTGGAGTAGTGCAGGCACGGGGACAAGGACAGTGGGTTCCAAAGACTGTCATCGCATCACCGAAACCCTTCTTAGGAGATAAGAAGGGTGAAGACCTCGACAACTGGTTGAGGTCGGTGCCAGTCTGTGTGAAGTGCAAGTTAATCGTGCCTCACGAGGAAGTGCTTGTGGCTGCCTCCTATCTGGAGGGGAGTGCAACAAGGTGGTTAAGTGGGTACGTGCAGTTACAAGGGTACGGTCATGACTTCCGCGCTTGGGCAGTCACCCAGAAATTGGATGATGTCCTCAAGCTGGTGGAAGAAAGGTGGCATGACCCGCAGGAGGCTCAAAAGGCCACCAACGGGATATTGACCCTGAGCTCAAGGAAGTTCAGGTCAGTAAGGGATGCCACGAACACTGTTGAGCGTTTGATCTGTGTTCCTGGAGTGCGTTATGACCCCTAGGTCTTACTTACCACTTACTTGAGGCGTCTCCCCATAGAGCTCTGGAATCAGTTAGTAGGTGAGGCTATGATCACGGTCCACAACTTTCCCTCATTCAGCAAGAAGGCCCTAAATCTAGAGGCAAAGATCGGGCATGGGCACCAACCCACTACGAATGGTAGGAAAAAGGCACTGCCTCCTAATTGGAAGGCCAAGGGGCGCATCATGTTCGTCGACAACGATGGTTCTACCATAGAGTTGGAGAACGACTTCCAGATGGGAATAGGGTTAGAGTTGGGTAGCACAGAAGCTTCAGGGGGTGGAGCGGTCGCTGCCTCAATCCAAAAAGGTAAGGGGACCGGTAGACGCCGTGGACGTTTTCCGATCAAGGAGTCAAGTAGACCCCAATGCTCCACCATGGGAGAAAGCGGGGCTTACCAAGGATATGTGGAGAGATCGTTACTCCCGTGGAGCTTGTATTCGCTGAGGCCAATATGGTCATAACCAGTTTAAGTGTCGGAATAGGAAAGTAACAAAAAAAATCCTGCCTACGATGGGGCAGGCACCGGTCTCCTCCGCTTCCCAGGGTAGCAATGTGGCCAGCAGTTCTGGCACTGCTCCGGGAGACACGTCGTCGAGCCAGTAGGAATTATAATTGTTCTTGCTAAGGTCGAGGTGGCGGACACACCCTCAACATCTCGAGAGATGGGCCAAGCTATTGACTCTATTGTCATCCCACAAACATATTCGGACTAATCGATCCTTTGTTCGATGAATGTGTTTGAGCCCTTAGAGGAGCTAGAGGAGGAGTGGTCTAGATCGAACCCACTAGCTTCTTGGACGGCTAAAGCTCCTAAGGGTGAGTTGCTCGTCGGCGAGGTAGATATGGGCGGTTGTAAGGCAGGGGCCTTCTACGATATGTGCTCGACGAGGAACTTTATCAGTCGCACTTGTGTTGAACGGCTGCGCTTACAGGGGCAAGTGCAGCG